AGACTAGATCTGCCTTCTTTAACCTGCGGCATCTTTGGCGACAGAAGGGAATTTCCCTCCGTCTGATAGCCCTTGTATACAAGGCCCCAATGAGGGCCCCTGCGGTCTGAAAATTTGAGGCGCCTTCACGTCTTTGATCATCGTTGTTTGCGAAGCATTGCTGGAGTCGGATGGTACCCGCGTGTCCGCAACGGTGATTTGCGTAGGCGAGTACTAGGTAGTGATAATCATGCTAGTTCCGTAGCTCAACGTATATGAGTGAATAACTTGCCTTGGCTCGGGCACGTGCTACTTATGCGTGGTTACCGCTTACCTAGGAGGGCCTTGTTCATTCTACCAGGTGCAGGGTGGCGCAAAGCTGGAAGTAGACAGAAGTTGACTTGGCAGCGGGAAATGAAGATAGTGACGACTGCACTAGGGGCCGTTGGTCCGTCTCGCCTTCTGGGCTGGAGTCCACGTGACTCGCATTGTGCTTTGTTAGAGACTTTACAGGACACGGCTCGCAACCTGGTGCGTGAAGTAACGGTGCTAGCGGTTCATTTTCTTTTCCTGTGTCGTAAACAAGACGTCGGACACGCTCGTTACTCACGCGGTGTTCCCACCAGATATGAGCTAGATTGCGAAGGCACCGGTTGTCGAACGTAAGTAGCCTCTTAATGTCCGCTGATCTACGGGCCAGGTTTTGCAACCGTACAGTAAGATCGAACGTACCGCTGCATTATACACTCTACCCTTCAGGGCGAGAGTGATATCGTGCCGACGCCATAATTGGCGAAGGTTAGCAAAAGCGCCTCGAGCTTTTGCTATACGGTTCGTGATCTCATCTTCAATCCCACAGGTGCTGATACAACTTCTCAGGCAGTTGAATTTCTGAACCACTTCTAACTGATCCCCACTAAAGGTCAGCGTGGGAGACGGTCCAGGCCAATCCTGGAGGAACGCTTTGCACTTCGATGGTGCAAAGAAAAGCCCGGAGTGACGGACAGCCAGTGCTAATCTGTCTAGTGCCGCTTGGCACGTCTTGGAACTGTCACAGATTAAGGCAATATCGTCAGCATACTCCAAGTCAAGAAGTCGTTCTCCTGGGAGCAGATTCACACCTTCTAAGTCTTGTCCCGTGAACGCGGTTTTCATGACTTTATCTATAGCGAAGTTGAAGAGGAAAGGTGACAGCGGGCATCCTTGTCTCACGCGGCTGGAGATATTGAAGGGCGGCAACAGCTTGCCGTAAGCCCTCGCTCTGTCCGTGCTACACGCGTATAATGCCCGGATAACATTTACGTTATTCTCGGGCACACCTTTCCTGAGTAGACAATTCCAGAGGGCACATTGATCAACCGAATCGAAGGCGCATTTGATGTCGAGGAACACAACTACAGTGCGCCGCCAATATGTGTGACGGTGTTCCAACAACTGACGCAAAGTGAAGATGTGGTCAATGCAGCCTTGATTTCGACGAAACCCGGTTTGCTCTTCACGAATATGGCTTTCACAAGTGGCCATCAGTCTGTGAAGGATTATGGAGGCGAGTAATTTGGAGGCGATGGAGATCAGACTGATTCCTCTGTGGTTGCCGCATTCCGAACGCGAGCCTCCTTTGAAGATGGGAACAATAACGGAGCGGCTCCAGTCGATTGGGACAGTTTCCTGCTCCCACAATTTCACTGGTAATTCATGTAATTTATCAGCCGCATTCACCAACGTTGGTCCGGCCTGTTTCAATACTTCAGGCGGAATCTGGTCGACACCGACACACTTGCCGTTTCGCAGTTGAGCAAGTGCTCTTTGCATCTTCTCCACTGTCGGCTAGTACGCCAGACTCACCTCCACTTCGTGCTGATTCAGGGCTTTCAAGATAACCCAGTCATTCTCTGAACAGTTGTTCAAGAGGCGGTCAAGTTGATTTCGCCAGATCTGCATTATGTCTGCAGTCTGCATGCAGGCAGGGCCTGAACTACGACGGAACAGCGTCCTCAGCTGCTCCAACCTCGGTCCATACACTGCCTTCAAGGATTCAAAGGATTCCTTGTGTTGGTGGCGTTCGGTGTTGCATTCCATCTGCTTCGCCTTCTCCGATCACCATGCACTTTTAATGCGACGAAGTTTTCGAGTCAGGCGCCGTCGAATTCTGCGCAGCTGACTGTTCTTCCCCAAATCACTGAGGTCTGCCACACGTGGAGCAAATGCAGCATTCTTGAACACCAATGCGCCAATCGTCGTATTGTCCTCATCAAATCAAGCGGGTCGCTTACAGTTTTCGTATCCGTTGGTCTCCTTTGCAGCAGCTGTCATCTGGTCGCGAATGTGTTGTCACAGGTGGTCTACCGTGGCTATGCATTGCACATCACACAGGCGTGCAACCATCGCCTTCTGCAGGTCCATCCTCCACAGTCCCTAGGGAAAGCACCTTATATTTCCGCCGGTTCACGGGAGGAGTGCAATACATCGATTTATGAAAATATATGTACAGTCTGGCCCGCACCAACTTGTGGTCAGTGCCACACTCAACTCAACTCAGTACACGTGTCATGCTGAGCGTGACCACTCCGTGGGTGCGCCCACGTTGCTATATCCCTCGCACTCAGTGCAAACCGAGCGTTCGTGATCGTCGGGCCGTGAGTAGCACACAGTGAGATCAGCCTGTCACCGTTCGCATTCGCTGAACCACTGCCATGCGGCCCGATGATATGTGTCCACACCGATGCGTCACGGCCAACGCGCGCGTTGAAATCACCCAGCAGAAATAGTCTGTCGCTTCTCGGCACAGACCGTATCACGGAGGATAACTGCGTGTAAATTTGATCACGCGTATCATCAGAATAACCGGACCGTACGTGCTTATAAAAGTGGCATAACTACCTCTTCCGAGTCGTTGGGGAACAGTCATCAGTCGCGCGCTGATGTCAGTGGGCTCACACACCAGCTGACGATTTAGGCGATCGGATAGTGCAAGTCCGATCCCATGTTCACGTGATGCTGTGGTGGCGTTGCCTACCCAGTAGAACGTATAGTCGACACCAGCTTCATGCAACTTACCTTGGTCAGCGCGCCGGGTCTCGCTAACCGCCGCAATATTGATGTTGTAGTACGCCCGTTTCATCGCGACCAATGCAGTGCTTCGCTCCGGGCGCTCGCTGGAGTTCCGGTCCAGTAGTGTGCGCACGTTCCAGCACCCGATATTGGGTGCTTTGCGCAAGCGCACGATTGCATTTTACCTGGTGATCACTACAGTCTGTGTGGGCGTAGGCCGCGATGACAAACAGACACCTTTGGTCAAGAGGAATCAATACCCTTACTTCTGAGTTGTCCTCGGTTGGAGACTCTCAGCTCCCCGGTTAGGGACCGAAGGACGATGAACATGTTTGATTAGATACACTTGTTGACCTGGCTAGGAGACGACCTCAGTGTCGTTTGTGTTGTGAGTTTCTTCGTCGTTCACCCTCCCGCTTAGCATGCCCTCCAACCACGATCTCAGTTATTAGGCATACTATGACTGTGGCATGACAGTCGGCTGTTAGGTCTCCGGAACGATGTCCATCCATTTGTGGTGACTCAGCCTACGTGTCTCCGTTTCATTTTTCTTTTCTTTTGTATTGCGGCTTAATAGCTGATGTGTTCCACCTGCAGCTAACGTGTATAATGAATGAATGAATGCATTTGCATTGTTGGACAATCGCACGCATGAAGGTTATTGTACTTCGGAGATTTGATTGAGGGACTTCACCCGGAGCCTTTGACTCAATAACCTGACCCACAAGGCAGTGGGGAGCAGAATCAACTCGGGATTGCAGCGATCATTTGGGATCTGCTTGAGGTCCGTCACACAGCTTTTGAAGATTTAGAATTAATCATGTGTTTTGCGACCGTTTTAGGATACGCTCCTGCGACCACGGCCAGACGCAGTAGAGTTTTGGCGGCTTCACACCAATTTGACTAGGGTCACTCTGGCTTGAGGCGAGCGGTAACAAACCGCACCGGAAGGTGCCCTCCCACCGTCAGAGACAATGCGTGGCGATCGTGCTCTACGCCAATCGAGCTGTGAGCTTAAAACCTGTGAATCTGTTGTCTCACATGGCTAGATTTTAAGGGAAGAGGTACATCGACTACTTCCTAACTACCAAAGAGGATGGGGTTTGAACTAGGATACTGGCTGGGCACCCACACTTGACAGCCAAAGCCTTCGACTAAGTGCACTCCCGAAAGGCAGCGGGTCTAGCATATGGTGTGTTCACTGACCAACGAAAACCAGCTGTTAGCTTTCCGGAACGATGTCTATCCGTTACTGGGGCATAGCCGGCGTGCCACTGTTTATTTTCATTTTCTTGTCTTTTATATTGCGGCACAATAGCAGAGGTGTTTTCCACCTGCAGCTACCGTGTATAATGAATGATGATGTGTACTGGCTCTTAGCGATCGCCACGAGGCGACGTCCAGAACATGAGCCCACTGCACAACATTCGCAGCAGGGGGTCAACGATCTGTCTGCATTTAGCCACTGTAAGCCTCATAGTCGATAAACGTAATAAATTTATTTATTTAGGGGGGAGACTACAGCATGGTTACATGAAACGACTTTCGAATTATATTCTGCACTATCTGCGCTCCTACCTACGATCGCCTTATTTTTTGGAATTTATACTCAACATTGTATCTTCGTATATTATGATGTACTGTCCGATCCCCTGTTGGATTTCATACACCAATTCCTCAGTCATGGTTCTAGTCTTCCTAACGCTTATCTCTATGGGTTTTGAGGATCTCACCGCACAGTCGCCTATTGTGAGCACTCCCTTTTTGTTAATCTGTTTCATGTTGTACCTTGACTTGTCCCACTTTAACTGTTTCCCCAAGTCACACAGCATCAGTTTACCCTTGACTGCTATGTGCATTCATTTCTGGCCTCTCATTCCGTGAGCTTACTTACGTCAACGGTGGACCATTTGGGGATTGTTGCAACAGGTACCTTGGGTGCTATCTGCGTCATTCTCTTTTTCTCTCAGACGTCTCTATCAAGAACTATTGCCACACAATTTGGATCCACGATACCGGGACCGACTCCGTGAGCGTCTAGAAAGGCGTGAGATGATGCTTCGTCGTCGAAATCTTGTAATTCCAGAGTTTTATGTGGGTGAGTTGATTAAACTAAAGCCAATTTGATAGGGAACGATCGAACGGAAATGGAAAATAAATCTCAAATGTTAGACCACTCGTGCGACAGTTCACGACCAGTTAAATGATCGAATCTTTTGTAAACTAGTTGTCCGTGGTGAAGCTGTTGTTGAGATGGATTTCGGATTCGACGCCTGTTGCGTGTTTCTGATTTGCATTGCTTCGATGGAGTTCTCATGCCACAAATGAGATCGGATTACACCCACGAGGGTGACAAATATGTGTCTTTTCAAGTCGTTTAAAGTTTCTTTTTTGTTTGTCAACATTTTGGACGCAACGTAAGGTTCAGGGAGGCCAATGACGCATTCGGCAAACATGCGACTGAGAAACCGAATGGCCTCTGTGTAAGTGTTAGTCGCGCTAATGGACGCATCTCGTGTCACATAATATGCCACCTCTGACTGACACCATCTTTGACATCTTTGGATGAAGTAAGAAACTGTGGCCCGCTGATAAATGCTCAGACTTTCCAAACACTCTCTGGTCACTTTGGAATAGTTCTTACTCACCTCATTTCGGAAAAGTTGCCTGGGGTTAATGAAGAAGCAGTCTTTGTTAATTACGGCTTCACAAAATGCCGGTGAGGCTACAAATGCAGGCTGCTCTAAACGAACGAAAAGTAGTTGAATTAGCTGGGACACTTCTGCCAACTTGCAGTGATTGATTATGCTAGTGCATACCTCCTCGTCATTTTTGGCAGCGACCAGAGTGGTCAAAATTCGATCACATTCGATCATGCTTTCGTTATTTATCCCAAAGCTGATTTTCATCAGTGGAGGAACTTCACTGTCCAGACGTTCGACAAGCTGAATCAAGAGTTTGGGGATGTTGGGCAGTAAATCTGTCATCATTGACGCGTACTCGACCGTTCCGGGGAACTTTGTCTCCGGTCTAACATTTTCCAACTCGGGATAGAAAGGTGCTTTCAAGGAATCCTCCACTAGTGTATCTACTTGCGGTTTCTTATTTTCCACACTCCTATTCTTTTCAACTTCACCGCTTCTTTCTCCGCAGTCTGGGGCTACTTTCTCAAACATTCCAACCTTTCCCTTTTCAATGCGTCCACTTCTGGCGTTGTTTCAAACAAGCGCCGATCAATGAGGCCACGTGACTATTCTGAGGTGTATTTGATACGCACCATTTCATTCGGTGAAATATATTCTGCTGCTATTTCCAACACCAATAAGGGCTAAATTGATCAGACAAGTTCTTTCGAAATTGCTTGCTCATCTCTAGACATGGCAAGCGAAAACTCCATCTTGCTATTTGTCTACTTTAAGATTAGCATTGGTGTCCTTTGATGATGCACTTGTTTTCTTTGGAAGCGCCGGCCCTTAGCCTTAAGAATCACGAGCCTGCCTTGTAATCCGGAGGTTCGAGCTTGTGTAGGCACTGGGTGACCCTCATAGCATTCTTAGCCCACGTGTGACTGGTGTTGGTTTCGCGTCAGCGAAGCGTCGGTACTGCGTACCGGCGTACTGCTGCTGATGCCTTATTGGACGCACACCACACCATCAGGTTTCGGACTTTCATCATTATTTGTGCCTAAGTCACTTGATAACCGGCCGGTGGCCTAAAGGATCACACGACCGCCTTGTAGTCCAGAGGTCACTGGTTCGAGCCTTTGTAGGGACTGGGAGACCCTCACAGTATTCTTAGCCCATGTGTGACTGGTGGTGGTTGTGTGGCAGTCAAGCGTCGTTACGGTGTACCGGCGTCCTGCTGATGCTTTTTTAAGTAACCAAACTTCTCGTAGGTATAATTTTTCGAAAGCCGGATTAGGATGGCTTTCACACTAATGGGTGTTACATTAGTCACTTATTGTTTTTCAAATGTTGGAGCAAAGACACGTGCGTAGAAGGCCATCTGTGACGACTTTCCTTGACATTCAACATTGTTGGTTGTACCAGCTTGTTGCACCGCCTATCGCTGAGGGGCGTACCATGGAACATTCTTCCTATTCCGAAGTTTCAGCTGTGACTCCCGAGGCGGGATGACTGTGTGTGAGATTCTGCCTCACGAATTTCCTCACATCAAGTGGGGTGCGTCAAAGTTGTCCAATATCTCATTTGCTGTTTGAAATGATCACACAAGACTCTCCTTACTGTCTCTATTGGCGTTGTAGTTCTGCTAAGTGATCAACTGATAAACCTGAAGTATGTAGTCGACTTGGCTCTTCTTGAGCCTTGCACCGCGGTTGTACAAGCACTACTGAAGAGGTTGGCACGCGACACTACACGCCCCGTCATATGTTTCATACTTCTAAGATGTACAGTACTTTTGCAGGACTAGACTGACACGTCAGCGGTCTCAGTTGCAAACCGATGTGCCACTTGTAGTGCTCGCTGCTGTCACAGCACTGGCTTCCCAACGTTTAAATCTTCCATAGTAAGAACGGGAAATCAACCCATAAGCCAGTTGTATATTATCAAACGTTGCAATAAGGCCAGCACTACTGCATGAATCAGAGACCTGACCACCTCGTGCTGATGACCGTAGCCGTTGGACAGTTTTTAACTACCGGGGCTTGTACATTATTGTCCCCATCTGTCGGTGGCACCACGTATGCGATACCGTGTATGACAAGGAGTCCTATGGTGCTCACAGGGTATCTGTTAGATTTGACTCGCTTACGCCAGCTAGATGCACTTTGACCGCATTCCTCGGTGAGCATTATATGCTGTCGCTAAAACAGGTTGGGCGAAACCGCGATGACGAGTCCAGTCAATGAATAAGGTGACATAAAGTAATCGATGGAAAGACTTGGCCAGGCTAACATACGTATGCTTGGGGGTGGGCCGAATCAGTGATTGCAGAGATTATCTGGTATGGCCTATCCGCAGACTCAATGGTACTATTGCATGCAGCTCTTTTTTTATCTAGCTGGTACTGTTACATCTCGATTGAAGTTATTCAATTTTATCCTTACTATCTTTTCTGTTCTCGTTCCGTTTCATCTTCCCCACTACTGTTACGTAGCGTTACGCTGGCGATGCGAGTCGTGGCAACTAGATCACCGTTATGTAACTGAACTGGTTCCACTCGATTCACAAGTTTGCGTATGCATTAGATGATACAGTATCGATTGTCTTCACGCCACTTAATCATCGTAGGATGTGGGTCCTTATCTGCGTTCTTGTCCTACGTTGGTTCCATCGGAGCCCAATTTGTTTTCACCTCACATTACGTACTATGGCAGTTGCTTTAGCCGTTAGGGATAGGCACGTTAGCTGATACCATGCGTTGTATTTCATATCTCAAAAAGGGTGTGGTATTGCGTGCTCGTGTGGACACAGCTCTGTCTCTCACTCGCTCTCATTCGAGGTTATTAATTGGTGCCGCTTCACTGAAGCGGTCCCAGCACATGTTGGCCAGCCCGTAGGATTTCTCATGGCTTCAGCCGCCTGTGAAGTTGGCGAGACCTTAGCTTACCAACCAGGAGTAATGTGCACAAAGCCGTATTCCAGCCAGCACCTGTGAGGTTGTTATGCGGATATGCAGCGAGACCAGTGTTTACTACCCTCCAACCTCAACGGTGTCAGGTTCCCGACTCGGCCATTGGCTGCCTACCGCCTTGGCGTGCGTCGTGTGCCATCGCTGATTTTAATTAGTCGGGATTTCTTGGCCACTACTCCGTGATGAAGTAAAGCATTGCGGAGAATTTGATTTGGGGAATTCCTAATACTGACGCGAATCGCTTTCCCGCTTACTGGCCTCGATATCGGCCACGGTAAATCTAGTGCATCGACACCCACATAACATGTCATGGCTCGTTTTCACATCAGGTTTCTGATTTGTATTCGATAGTCAGTGCATCTCCATCCCATACAATGTGATTGAGTAGCAAGGCGGACCAGCAACTGGTGAGTCACAATCATCTATCTTGCTCCGTCCCTCTAGTATCACCGCACTTCTGCATCCTACATGGCTAAGACACAGTGACTTACCTAGTTGAGTAATGGAAAATGGCCGAAAGCATCAGGCGTTCCGCCTTGTAACCCAAACGTTCGCAGGTTTGAATCTGCATGGGTGCGATCGACCTCGCAATTTCCCCAGTATACACGCGGCTAGTGGTGGTCGCTTTGCCACTTAGCGTCGGTGCGTTGTACCGGCGTAATTCCTGTCTTGCGATACTGGTTGTCTATTTGCCTCCTTGACTGACACACGCGCTATCTGACTGATGGCAATCTCACACCCTTTCGGTCTGTTTTTCCGCACTTTCAACTGTCAACATCTCTCATTTTACGGGCCTAGTTAACCGGTTAACACTGCGAGTTCCTCACGTTTTCTCGATGCGCTATGTCTTGTTGCTTTCCACTTTTGTGCCTACGTTTACCTGCCTCTCCTCGTAATCACACGTTTTGTCCGTTGATAGATGCTCTTCCCAACGGTAGCTCCGCTATTATCAAGGACTCATGGCAGTCAATTCCGAATCAGATAGCCAACGACGTATCTGAAGGAGCACTAGACGGCCGTTTCGTCCTATAGGGACTCGTCAGTAGTGCATACGCACTGGCCTCATCAGGAGCTGCTTGTGCTGCTAGCCAGCAACTTAAGTGACTAAACAATGGGGTACAGCGGCCGACCGTTATGATTTACAAGCTAACTACGACATAGGGTAATTAGTCTTCCACTGGTATGCAAATTAAGAATCTTGCAGACGACAAGATTGACCCCGAGGGACACGATTTCCACTAACAGCAGCTATGTACGACATAGCATTTACAGGTTGTTATGGCAAATAGTTTTTTCATGAGTAGGGAATTTCTGAAGTAATTTTATTGAGTGTTCATCGCATGGTTTCCAGTTCTCAATAAAATTATCCCAAAATTTCCTACTCATGGATGCATACTCATCGAATGTAAATGGTGTACACACGTTCTTTAAGCTTACCATCTGTCTAGAAAGTAGTCAGTCATTTGGTAACAGTCCCTTTTCAGGATAACACGAATCAGGAAATGTGCAGTGTTGTGTCTGCTCCCGCGACTGTTTCCACCCACTAACGGTAGGGAGAACACGGACGACGACGGACGAGGATTCAGGGTTCTTTTGCATAGGGAAAGCTTTTCGTTGTATAGCATGACGCACAAGCGTGAACGTCAGTAAAGCCATTGAAGACTGAACAAATAAGATGAGCCTTGCTATAACATAGTCAACTGTCAATCACGCAGGTCCGCGACTGTCACTCATGGCAAAGTAGCACTAGCTGCTGGCATCCAGAAGTCATGGGGGCGGAATCCGGCGGGGGTCCGCTGGGACGCAGGCTACTGAGGAGACCCAGAAAGTCGAAACGCCGGCGTCTGGTGCTTTTCCAGACTAGCCTAAGCCTGCTGATTGGGCGTGACCATGATGAATTAGCTGACATAAGGAACCATTCAGATGCACACAAATAGTGGAAAGTGAGTGCTTGTGTCAGAGTATGGCTGCGATCTGAAGACAAGAATAATGACTCCAAATAGCCAATAGGGAAAGCGAAATGATGCATTCGAACAAACACCAATGAACTGCCAGAGCAAAACAAAAGTCTACAGTCATGAACGTTTACACAAACATATCTGTATTTTTATTGCTCATCTAACACCTCTCACTTCTTGAGAAATAACTTTCTCTAACACGAAGTTACTTCGCCTTTTTTTCTGTTATAAAGTTGGCATACTGCAGTTGCCTCAACCAACTACTAAAACCAATAGCAGAATGGTGGCTCGCAACAGTGCCGCTTGTAAGTGAGCAGTTTGCAAGCCGGTATACTGTAAAGCTATCCTCGATACACCCACACTCATTTGACTGGTCCGCTCGGTCCTCGATACCAAACTATCCAATTGGATTAAGCGATTCCATCGCTGTTAATTTTCTTGTTTTTTTAAATTTTGTTGTGGTGCCTGAGCATGTTTTGCTCGAACTCGTCGGTGCATACAACATAACAAAACGTGAATGCACACTGTGCCGACCTCATTCAGAAGGGAGGTGCGTGGGCTCCCTGCGTAAATTCAGACTGTAACTGTGCTCAACCTCGTGATCTGCACTTAGAAAGTTACGTTAACTCGCGATTGCAGAAAGGTTTGAAACAATCGGTTGATATATTTGGTAGACAATGCCTCGCTTTTGACACAAATGGCTGTCAGTACAAGTGAAGCAGAACATATTAGATGTGACATTTATGGCAAACTGGTATGATAATCGAGCAGTTCGATTCAATTCCTTTTGTAAACCACGAGCCTGTCACCAAGGTATGGTAGATCCATTTGACTTGGCAAACGTTGCTGAGCTATTAATAGTGAAAATTAGATAGAAATGAACAAGAACTTGAATTGCCGAACGAAATAGTCCGAAGTGAGAGAACCTAGTGCAAGAGGGCAACTGTCCCGTACCTCCGATAAGCGATTCAACGGCTGATGCGGCCAATTCCAAAAACCACATTCGGGAAGACGACAAACATGAACCCGACTTAGCCGTTTGGTAAGTTTCCTAATGTTTTTTGCCATTTCCTCAAATAGCCCGTCACCTAGAGGTTTCACCGATTTAGGTGTAGTATTGGCAAGCCGGTGGCTTGGCCCCTTCGGTCTGAAGATCTGAGGCACCTTCAAGTCTTTGATCATCGTTGTCTGTGAAGCATTGCTGGTGTCGGATGGCTCCAGCGTGTTCGCAACGATGATGTGCGTAGGCGAGTACTAGGTAGTGATAATCATGCTAGCTCCCTAGAACAACAGATAGCACTGAATAAGTTGTGTTTTCTCGGGCACGTGCTACGTATGCTTGGTCACCGCTTACCCAGGAGGGCCTTATTCAGTCTACCAGGTGTAGGGTGGCGCGAAGCTCGAGGTGGACAGAAGTTGACTTAGCAGCGGGAAATGAAGTCACTGACGACAAAACTGGGGGCCATTGGTCCGTCTCGCTTTCCAAGCTGGAGTCCACGTGACTCGCCTTGTGCTTGGCTCGAGACGTTACAGGACATGGCTCGCAACCGACACCAGTGGCGTGTCTGCTGCCGTCTCCTAGTCGGATTGCCTGTTTAAAGTGTGTCTCCTAACACGCTTTGCATACATCGACCAGATCTTCTATCCTTACAATAGCACTTGCCTCACCACATTGTTGTAAACCCTTCCCACGTCACGTCACACTGTCTCCACAACCGAGACGTCAGAGAACAGTCACCGTTGCATGTCAGTGTCAACTGGTACAGGAGCATTAGAAAGATTTGGATTGTGTGTTGTTTTCCGAGCCCGGCAAATTTTGGCCCTATGCACAAAATCAACCTCAGCGCACCGATATTCACAGCTATTTCGGATTAGAGAGATTTCGCGTGGTTCACTTTGCGGTGACTTCATATTTAAGTCCTGAATATCAGTGGTGCTGATGATGGTTTGGATTAACTCTCCAGCATGGATCCGTCACAGATCTTACAGTCCCATCCCATCCACTCTGTTGTTATGGCCAGAAAACTTCATCGTGTGATTTACGTTCCCTCCAGTTATCACTTTTACTAATAATTTGATATCGAGCGAGATTTAGAGCTATTTCGATGATTATCACTCAAATGTAGCGACTCAGTAAAACAATGCATTCTCATCTTGCGTTTGTGCTATTCATTGTGGTCTGTTCGTTTCCCCTGGTAGGTTCCATTCTATCGGTGACAGTGGCTGATGCATTTGCTCCAAATGGTTCCCATCGATTTGTGGGTATCTGCATTGAGCGTTGCAACGAAGGCCTTTGGACCACATTCACTCTCAGAAATGTGTTGGAAAGTACAGGTACAATTTCTGATTAGTTGGGTCATCTCATTCTCTCGACATGCTAGAGGAAACGCTTAATTGAGATAAACTTTGTGTGACAGTTCGTAACTGTAAGCTCTGGTTTTTATGTGTACATCTATTGATGTTTTAACGTATCGTATTGGCAACCTCATTGGCCGTTAACCGTCGTTTCTATTGGTTTAGGATAGTTTCTCGGCTAAGATTGATACTAACAGTTGCCTCTGGTCGAGTGCATCTGATTGGTGTTCTATGTGACTGCTTTCTTATTGGCTGACTCAGGCAGGTGTTTTCAATGCCGTGTTTCGTCTTGATTTTCCTCTGTTATATGACAGTGCTATGTACTGATGAAAAGAATCTTGTCCCTGCTGAGCGGGAGCAGTTGTGGGCGACATAACACTATGTTTTTTTACTGTCCCTTAACCCCACCTGTTATTCTCTCTTGTTCCCACATTTTGACTATAACATAGTACCATTCGTTTTGGGGCGGAGTATTGCTATTTCATCCCCATCTACTGTCGCTTGTGCTCTATCTAGAAACACACCATGTTCCTTTTTCCAGAGATGATTGTAGCACTAGGGTGTCTTAATCCAACGGCCCTTGGCGCTCGAATCATAATCTCTTCACTCTAGCAGTACCTTATCCTCACATTTCTTACCTAATGTTCCATCCTCCTCATGCTATCGCTTCCGCTTTCGTACCACTTTTAGCAGTTGAAATCAAATACGAATTGTACAATCCAACCCTGCAGTCTATCGAGGTGCTATTGTTGGAAAAACGTTTGGATCAGAATTTGCTCTACTTGCGTGACGCACCGCTGCAAGAAAGTCGTGTGCCCTTTGATATGACACCGGTCCCCCATCCACGAAATGCTCCAGTTCCAGTTAACACTAAGAAAGTACGTGCTGGCTGCTGTATTGGAGAATTTACTAGCTTTTGCTTTCATGCCACTTGTTTGTCGCTCCCATTCCTACACCTCCATTCTTCAAAACCTGATTGGTTTTCTGTAAGGTACATGGTTACTGCTTCTACTCTGACCGTCGTTACGAACGCAGGTGCGTTTGGTACGCACATCGTACAAGCAGTCGAAAGCATTTCCATTGCTGGTTCTGCATCAATTTGATAATTACACATTTAAATACTGCGTACGAACTCGAAGAACGCTTAGATTATCACAGGTAGCAGATACTTTTTATAACATTTTTGATTATATTCCGGTGGTTGTGTAGATTTAAATTACTAATTGTTCCCAGAATACAGTATTCAGATACCAAACAACTACTTAAAACTCACATTCAATTACGTAACTTTCTTGAAACTTTGGCCATAGCTACCAAATATCACTTCCATTAAGGTCTGTTGTTCCGGGATTTGATTACGCTTAGTATTGTTACTTGAATCGATGCGGTCATTTGGGCCCATCATCGCCGGTTCCGATATGCGCTAGTGTTGCAGAAGCGAAGCAAATCACTCGGGACCCGATAACCTTTCTCCTTCTTTACTGAAGAGGACACTGGTGGTTCCCTGGTACTCACTCTGGCTATTCTGTTCAGCACTCTGAAGTGTGTCAAAATTGGTAGTTGCCTACCGATATTCCAATTTTAAAATGGACCGGAGAACATCCATTAGAATCACCAGTCTGATCTCGGTTACCTTCAGACTGCTGACCTATATCATACTGTGGTGACCAACTGATTATTATGAGCGTCAGGAAGGTACGTGGACGACGCTTCAGCATCACTGTGCCTGTGAAACCCCATCACGCAGTAATCCTCTTTTATCTGAAAGCTGTTTTTGATTCTGTTGATCGCATTTGCTTGTGGTAATTTGAAACTAACTTTTCTGGCGTACCGTGGCAATTTTTAGTGTGATGTAATATGCGTGCTGGGAATCCAGTTTCCGTGTTCTCCATGACAAGTGGAGCGCGGCGGCATCACTCCACCTCTATTCCTCATCATATTTGCGGCCGATGTACTCCTGCTTTTTTCCACCACTTGTGGAAGTCGATAGTACGTTTGTTTCGGCTATGTAGCCTGGTGTACGCGGACAACATAGCTTTCTTCGAGCTGGACCCGACAAATATACAGTCGTTACTGGGTGGGCGGACGTATATCGCTGGATGTCTCGGTATGCGTTTTCAAAAAGTGTATCACTCGCACAGGGCTGGGCCAACTCACTACCACCGAACAACCGTTTGAGGTTACAAGTTAGTTCACTTATCTTGGTAGTTGCATCACCTCTGGCAGTTCACATCACCGAAGAGGTTACTGCACCTACTGGCAAGGCTGGTGTGGCTTCTCAAGGATCCAGTCACTCATAGAGACGATGAGACGTAGGAATTATAGTTGAGGTAGAGTATGACCTGCTGCAGTTAAGTGAATATGGTTGCATAGATCAGAAATGTGACTGCTGTGCGCTGCAGAAAGTAACAGATTGGTAATCTTTGATCACCGATGACTGTGTAGTATTGCTCACATTTGCTGGCGAGTTGAGTGAGCAGAAAAGCATAACAAAACTCACCAGAAGGCTGAGTTAGGTTAAATCTTGCTGTAACGCTTCTTCTTTCCTTCTGCTCTCTGCCACTGACAGTTGTTGTACTGCTGCTTTGCTGCCCTGTGAGACTGCGACAGTCTGACTGCTCAGTCACCCACCCAGGCAACCGAAGGAATACAAAAGACCGGAACTCGGTAGACAGATAGGATAGGTTAACTCTATTTATTGGCAACGAAATATATTAATTTAGGAGGTCAAGGTCACTCAGTTTTCCGTGTCTGGTTTTCAGCCAGTGTGAGTGAATTCCGCTCCACGGGTTTATCATATTGACGGAATAGTTCGATTCCTTTGACGCGGGCTGGTATTTGCTGGCCGATCAATTCTCACTCGATTCCCAAATTCAGCGGAAAGGTCAAAGCTCGTAGCACGCCTGTGCTGATGACCTTTGCATGTAGCGGAAGCCTACGTGCTCCGCTTACGTCTCTATTACCTTCACTTTCGAATTGAGCATGCCAGCGTACCGTTCGAACTCGACTTTGTTCATAGGTTTTCGCTTTGGGATCAACTTGCAACCATGGTGGTCGTCTCCGCTTTCGGATCGGCCTGCATTGTGCGTCATCTGCTGCTTGCATCTTATGTTGTGATCCACGTTGCCGCTCAGCTTCGTCCTCCAAACAAAACTTGTCTAGCAGGATGTCCCATGGTAGGGATGACGGTTCTGGAGGGCTTTGAGTCTTGCCGTGATTCGGCCTCAGCTGATTGGCGTGCCTGGCCCAATTCTCATTACTACCACTAGCCCGTTTCTGCGGATCACACTTCCTGTCTACTACCTCGATCCTCGGAATTCTCGTGCGTACACCATGTTCCGAATTTTGAAATGACGCACGTTGTCTGTCCGCTTTTTCCCCGCATAATAACTGCCATGCTTTTCTTTTCTGCTTGGCACAAGGCGCTTTGCTCTGGATACTGGTTTAGTGGCTGAGTGATTCAGGGCAGCACTGGTGATTCTGTAACATTCTAGACGAGGTTGGAGTATTGCCTTTTGGCGTCTGTTCATCTGCGTAGTCTGACTGCTTTTGATTTCTACCGTCGCATCTTCAGGTCTGATGGGCACATCAGATTTTGAAGTGGCAGTTTGGCAGAAGTGTTGCTCTTCCCTGGTTTCCGAATTTGCGAGCACATTTGTACCAGGACTCAAGCTGAGCAATCTCTGACATTCTGAAACAATTTCTTGCGATATCAGCTTGTTCCGGTTCCCATTCTACTTGAATGTTTAATTTTTGTGATAGCAGTTTGATCAAATGTCTTCGTGACTTTTCGTACTGAGACTGCTTTTGCTGCTGCAAAAGTGCCTGTAATTGTTCAAAGCTGACTGTCATCCTGAGTTCGATTGAAACTCGCGTCGCCACTGTTGTAACGCTTCTTCTTTCCTTCTGCTCTCTGCCACTGACAATTGTTGTACCGCTGATTTGCTGCCCTGTGAAACTGCCACTGTCTCACTGCTCAGTCACGCGTCCAGGCAACCGAAGGAATACAAAAGGCCAGAATTCGGTAAACAGATAGGATAGGTTATCCCTATTTATTGGTAACGAAATATGTTAGTTTAGGAGGTCAAGATCAAGGTCACTCAGTTTTCTGCGTCTGGTTTTCAGCCAGTGTGAATGAATTCCGCTCTACAGGTTTATCATATTGACGGAATAGTTCGATTCTTTTGACGCGGCCGATCTATTCTCACTCGATTCCCAAATTCAGCGGTAAGCTCGAAGGTCATAGCACCCCCGTGCTGATGACCTTTGCATGTAGCGTAAGCCTACGTGCTCCACTTACGCCTCTATTGTCTTCCAGGATGTCTTCGGAACCAAGTAAACTACTGTTGGAAAAGTGAGACTAAGGGGTCAATGGCACTCAATTATTCGCTCCCTGCGTCTAACTACTTCCCTGGACAGTTTTGTTTCTTTCTCACTTGCGTTGAAATATTATTACCGTTGTTGTTATGCGTATTAGTTTGGCTAGACTCGTCAAGGTAGCTGGATTCACCGCATAGATTAAAGTCGCTAAACTGAACCGAACTGGACGTGGATATCTGCCATGATGAACTGTTCCAATCTTAGGTTTCCTCTATACACCGCTCCATTTCCAATTGTTCTAGGTGAAATTGCTCCCACCTCCTTGGCACTTTCAGTGGTTTCTGCATGGCTACCGTGGCATAGATGAGAGCATGTTTGAGTATCTGACTCCAGAACAGCTGAATCAGATCAATGACAAAGTGAATCTAGTGGATCGTTATGATCTGATGAAAATGTACAGGTGCGTTTATTTCATTTCTTACCATTATTAGTACTAGATTGCTTTTCGACTTATCTCATGATGCATTCGTTAGATATGCATAATTTCTTTGCTATTGTTTGGATGATAGATGCGGGAGCCACTTTGTTATTTTTAATACAGTTAGTTCCCCTCAGCAATTAAGAAGGCACAATGAGAAGACGAAGTTTAGCAGATGCATGCATTTCGTATCGTCTCATCAGTGTCGGTTTTCGTTATCGGCATTGATGAGACGATACGAAATGCATGTATCTGCCGAGCTTCGTTTTATCATTGTGCTTTCACTTTGTTATTGACAAACTGCAGGGTCTTTTGGACTCTAACTGCACTTTATGTCATCGGACTATGAATCACTTTTTCTTCCTCTTTCACCACAGAACTAGACCTTCTTTGGAAGATAAGCAGGTGGCTTTTGGCCACGTACATTTGCACCATCAAGATCTTGTCCGTTTGCACGAACAGCGTAGACATTCGATGGAACATCGAACTCCGAAATCGTCTTCCGCCGCACCCATCCGCGAGAGCGGTTAACTGTTGCTCTACCAACACGCACTGATTCAGCGTACATTTGTAAATAAATGCATTATCACAGCCGTCGCTCATTTTTTGGTTTATCATTTGTATTACCATCGAATCTGTTCCTTGCCTTCACACATTCTATGGGATATTGTGTGCTGCTTATTCAACGTAGGTACATCATCGTAGATTAATGCAAAAAACGAGGAATACAATATGCACATAACACTAATATTTTGTTATTTTGATATTTGATACCGAACCACTCAAGACAACTGGGTATTCTTACGTGGCTTGCTTTTGTCTCTTGCTTGCTGTGAACTACTCTGTAATATCAATTCCTAGGGATGACAAGCGAAACGAACCGTTAGATAACGTGCACATCCTACATCAGTCAGGCGAGTTAGGTTCAGCTCCGAATTATCCCTTAATTCTTATTGAAATCGGTGCCTAGTAGTTACCAAAAACACGTCGAAATTTAGGCGCCAGACAACTTATCGACCTCCAGATTATTGCGTACTCGGCATGTTCGAGTTGCACTCATCTTCGGATAGTGAGTACACCATCATTATTTACAGCGATATATCAACCATTTTAATGGATGCTTCGCCACTGCACGGTCACAATGCCTTGGGAAACGTTGAATAGTAGGAGGGGTCTAATGTAAAACCCAAATGCTCTTAAACATTCAGGATTGAAGTGCCTGCATTTTTGCAACAACACACGGTCACGAACAGCTGGCAATTATAAGAGGTAAGGGAACCCGCCCATCTCAGCTTTCAGAGCCAGCCCTTTCGCTGGCGGCCCGGAGGAGTTTGGTCCGACACAAAAAAGAAGCTAATCAGCTAGACAATGAGAGCGTTTCACCTTTAAGTCTACCAATGATAAGAATATATCTTGAGATCTACCAGCGAGCGCGCTCTTTCGACAGCCAGCAGTCGCGTTACCAGGCATCTAGTAGTTGCTGAAATCAAAGAATTACAGCTAAGTAATTTTCTCGCAAACTATTTATTTTAACCCTATCCTTGGCTATACGTACCACTTTTTGGGTTTTGTTTTCCGATCTGTGAAGGCCGGCTCAAGCTTCGTAATAGCAGCAAGTTGTCCGTACGGTTAGTGGAAAGCCCAAAAATAAGGAGGTAAGTCGGCTCCAGCAAGACAGTTTTCCTGCGGATTTTGCTGCTTCGGGTGACTCAGTATCAGATTCAGTTTGAACAGGCAATCTGGCCGAGAGATGGCAGCAAACACACTGTCGGTGTCAGCTGCAAACCGTCTAGTAATGTCAAGACGTATACAGGATGGGTCGCGTACATTCCAGCCTGGAAGTCTAAAACGGAGCAACCGCAGTCAGTCTACTCGTTCCCTACCTCATTTTTCGCTGCGGGGTCGGCATTTGTCCTCCTTCCTCAAGTTTTATACCATCTTGCATCTGGCAAACAAAACAATACCGATTTCAGTAGCAAGTGAGCTGTTGTACGCAACTCCTAACCGAGCCAGCAAAATTTATTAAAAACGTCCTAGAGAATTAACCGACTCTTATGCATATCATCGTTGCGGACATTCTAGTGCTATCCGACACTAACAGTGTTCCCAGATATCGATGATCAAAGACTTGAAGGCCAATTCTCATTCTCTGGAGGAGAACCGCTCTCATAGTGTGTGCACGGGGAAGTCCTCTGATATCTGTCATACAGTGAAGGTGACTCACTTGAGTGAAACGAATGTGGTTGGTTTTTATTTGATTCGCCGCAGTTAGATTACAGGTCGTATAGGTGAGCTACCGATCTGGAAAAGCATCTGACGGTCGTTTCGCTCTATTGGAGCTCGTCAGTGGTAGGTATTCTTTCGGTTCCCTGATGCGCATCGAACCCATGATCGCCAGTGGCTTGCACCATTAGCCAGCAGCTTATGCCAACGAGCCATGGGGACGATAGCCGACCATCACGGATTGAAATTAGACTGCGAAATAGCCCGACTCATCCTCCACAGCCATGCTGGTTATTGCCCTTGCTGATGGCAGTGGTTGGTCGTCCAAGTCAGGACTTCCCTTGCCAGTGCCGCGAATCCACATAGCATCTTGAGCACTGGTAGAGCGTAGTTTCGTTTACTAATGAGCGGACGGCTGTAGTCTAATTGTGATGAACCAAATAAAATCATAGCTAAATCCGTCCACTCATTAGTAGAATGTAGTTTGTATTTTGTGCAAGCGAAAATGGTAGATGCGTGCTCTTCGTACCCTCAGTTTCACACCAATGTTAGTAGCAGGGAGTATGTGCAAAATCGTGTTTTATGTGACACTCACTTTCTCACGAGAATTGGAGGACGATAAGTGGCTTCTCTTGCAAGCCCAATTGGCAAAGCAATACAGCAGGCTAGAGTGTGGCGGAGTTTCTGTTTGCTATATGTGGAATTCACTATCTGAATACTGTGTTATAGAGCAAATAGAAATGAATTCTGTACAACTCTCGAGATGTGGTGAAAACGTCATAAAAATTTTCGGCTGCGAATACCGTTATCGTTCTCATATGACATTTAAAATATCTAGCTCACGGTATTGCAGTACTCACAAATGTGAGATGTCATCGTAAGTGTGCAATCGTTCTCTGAATCGAATAGTGGTAAGATATAAATCTAACAACGTTTTGAACTGCTACACAGACGTGGCCTTCATCATATGTTCAAGGAAACTGTTCCAAATCTTTACCACTCTCCGTTCGAAGCACAGTGGGTGGGGAACACGCCTCATATCCGGCACGACAAGTTTGTATCTATGTCCGCGTGCGCTGCGTGGCCCTCGTAAGTGCAGCATGGGGAAGTCAACGAGATGTAGAATACTGTAGGTCAAAATGAGGTCGACTATCACCGACGGTAGGACAACGCGTAGTCCTAATTTCTCGTGCCCGTTATTCCAGTCCCTACGTTAACAAACTGTGTTCAAAGATCGTGTCGACAATGCGCTAGTCACGTTACACCAAACCTTATAACACACTTGAGGCGTAGCGGGCGCGTCCCCAGATTGCCGATCGCGGAACGCCTTAATTGTAGAGGTAACTGCGAATATGTCTCGTTTGTCTTACAGGCGAGATAATAAGCAGTCGCGGACAATCAGCAGCAGCGTCTCAGAGCGTCACCTGGTTCTCCAACAAATACCACAAAAGCTCGTACGACACTGTGTCAGAGCCACTGTGACCGGCTATAGGGTCGTTGACCACTCACTTCTGTACCCAGAGGTGAGTACCTAAAATAGAGGGTGGCTGAAGAACCTTTCTGGCCACTGGCTTCTGTGTGGACTGCAACCGAGCACAAAGAAAGTGAATGAGCCATCTGGCTTTCAACGGTCTTCGTTAATCGCCCTGCTGCCTTACGGGTTAGGTCTTAAGACCAAAGGCTCGGGGTGGGGTCTCTTAAGTCAACCCTTTTTCTCGGCCTGGACAACCGGGAAGATCTCTGCCCACACAACACATTGATATTCTAAAGTTTCCAAATCCTTTCACTGACTACCCGTTTTCCCCTTTCTGTTGTTGTTAACTATGTGTTGTGGCACTGCCAATTGTACATTGGTCAAGTGTTGGATATTATATAATAATACATACAGAAAACAAGGCCGTTTCAACGCACACCTATTTCTCTGGGGAAAATTAAAAGTGGTGATATTTTAAACTGCGTAAAACCGTAAGTTAACGATTCAGACGGACAGACTTTTGCTCTACAAGTTCACTGTTTTCGGTTGTTCTCTGTTTATGGTTATTACTCCTTTTCTTTTAAAAACTCACCATCCTGCGGGACATGCTAGGCCTAGGCTTTGTTATCCGCAATAAAGCATTGAATTGATCACTGAACTCACCTTACCTCCCTCCGAATGTTGCTCCAGTGCGGAATATAGGGCTAGATCATTTCGTATATGCGTCAATTTCTTCGCGCTCAAACGTAGGTAGTTACACAAGAGGTGAATCAGCGTTTGAGTTGTGGCACCCTAACCGGAGGCACGTATGGTTTGATATCTATTAACCGTGGTGCTTCTCGACGTCTAATCTACACTGTTGGTCGGAAGCGACGTTTCGTGCAGATTTAGAGAACGCGCTGCGCCTCTTCAAAGTTGGATGCGAATAATAAGCGCGGGTTGGTGTGCATAAATCGAACACTTGTTGTACTATTTACGACCCATTGCATACTCTAGAAGTTTGGCATATATTCACTATCCAGAATGTTAATAAGCAGCAGTAGTTAATAAACGGGGTAGAACACAGAATACACAGAAAATTGAATTAGGTAAAATTTGGGTAGAAGTACTCGATGTGGAACACTAACTGGCTCGGTACAACTGCGCGCGCGACAAAATCCGTCGTACAGTTCTTCACACAAGCACTCGTATCTAATCGGGACACAACCCAAGTTCACTATTGGCGGAGGACAATGAGCCTCTCAGTGTGACCATCCGCCGCATATCTCAGAGGCACTTACGTCGTGTGACGTCAAAGTCAGCGCAGAATAGGCTGCTTGAAGTTGATCCATGCCATGTCATACGCCTCGCGCCGTCAAAGACTGAAGTGCTCTTGCAGAATCACTTGCCGTTCGATGACTCCTTGACTGAATGACAAAGAGCTAGAGATAGTTAAGCAGTTTCTCTATCTTGACAACCATTGTCAGTGATAGATGCGTGGTAGTTGAAGCTAGTTCTTTTGCTGCGAGAGCGAGATTTGCATTTACCAATCCGAAATGGCTGTCGCATCAAGGGGTTCTTTCACTCTGACCGTTTTAAATAGGGTTAAAGTGAAAACGGTTATCAGCCAAGTGGGTGGAATTCAGCCCCCTCAAACCGGGGCACCTTAAAGGTTTTGATCATTGATGCCTACAGAGCACTGCTGTTGTCGAATGGATCCAGCAACGATGATATAAGGTCAGCAGTGGGCGGTGATAGCCATCGTAATTGTTTAAGGTAAAATGTCAGATTGAATGAGCTGCGATGACCTGGGTATGTGTTACGTACATCAGCTCACGGCCTACCGAGGAGAGCTTTGTTTGTTTATCGGGTGCAAAATGTCTCAAGACTCGAGGGAGTAACAGCTGACTTGGTAGTAA